CTCACCTAGTTCAGGCTTTCCTGGTTTGAGTTTAGTTCAGTGGATGAACATGCAACAAAATAATCAGCTGGCAGCTGCTCAATCAGGACTCTTTCCTTCAATGGTTTCTTCAAATCATTTGCAAAATAACCTTAGCGCCGATGATCCTTCCAAATTATTGAATTTTCAAGCTCCTGCATTACCTGCATCAAATATGCAGTTTAACAAAGCTAATCCGAACCAGGTCAACCAGTTGCCTCAGGCGCTTATGACATGGCCCCAGCAGCAGCAACTCCAGCAGTTATTTCAGACTCCTCTGAATCAAAATCCACAGCAACCATCACAACAGCAGTTGCAGCGACAACAACCGACTCAGCCTCAGCCACCTTTACAGCAGCAGCAGCAGCAACAACAGCAACAAGAAGGACAGCAGTCACAACCGCAGCTGGCACAGCAGCAGCAGCAACAAAGACAACAACCACAGAAACAGCCGCAGCAGCAGTTGCAACAACAATTTGTGTCGGCTCAAATAAATAATGGCATCACTGCTGCAAACCAGATACCGAATCAAAATTTGCATCAGCCAGGTGTTTATTCTCAGATTCAGCAGCAACAACCACAATTACCGACAAACAATAGCCAGCCAACTCAAACTATCCTTTTGGCTAATAAGACTTCATATCCTTTAACGTCATTACCTCAAGAGACACAGAATCAACAACAGATTGAACAGCAACCTAACCTTGTAGAGAGCCAACAGCAACAAATGCAATTGCAGCGAAGTCTGTCTCAGAGGACACAGCACCAGCCGCAGATTCATCAACTGGCTCAGCAGGGCCTCTCTGAGCAACAGCTTCAATTACAACTATTACAGAAATTGCAGCAACAGCAGCAGCAGCCGTCCCAACAATTACTCTCACCAACTGGATCACAATTGCAGTCTCCATTGATGCAGCAACAGCCAATTCATCAACAAAACCAACCATTACAGCAGTTGCCTCTTTCTCAGAGTCCACAAACACTTGGCAGCAATGGCTTTTCAACATCAATGCTCATGCAGCCTCAACAGCCTGTAGTGAGCCAACCCCCGAGACAGAACAAACCACTTGTGGCTATGAGAACTCATTCTGGTCTTACAGAATATGATGCTCCATCATATTCAACATCACCTTCTACCAATAATTGTCAGGTTTCACCATCAAGCTTTCTAAGCAGAAGTCAGCAAGTACCACCCATATTGGTGACAGATCCAGTTGTTGATCCTGCAAGTACGCTGGTTCAGGAGCTTCAGAGCAAGCCTGACGTCCGAATCAAACATGAGCTACCTGCCTCTAAAGGTCCAGAACAATCAAAGTACAAAAGTAGTGTGCCAGACCAATTAGAAGCATCCTCTTCCAGAACATCATACTGCCTGGATGCAGGCACGATCCAGCATAATTTCTCCCTTCCCACCTTTCTGGAAGGTGATGTCCAGTTACATCCTCAGAACAATCTTCCATTTACACCTAATACTGATGTACTGGCACCTGAGACTTTGTTATCAAGGGGATATGACTCTCAAAAGGATCTTCAAAACCTGCTTTCTAATTATGGTGGCAATCCAAGAGATATTGACACAGAGATGTCTACTGCTGCAATAAGCTCTCAGTCGTTTGGTGTGCCAAACATACCTTTCAAGGCTGGGTGTTCAAATGACGTTGCCATAAACGATGCAGGAGTTTTAAATGGTGGATTGTGGGCCAACCAAACTCAACGTATGCGAACATATACAAAGGTATGTAAGAAGCTCAAATAGAAATGTTTCGTATTCAATATAATCAGTTTTTTTAACCTCAAGACTTTCCAAGACTAAACATGAGTTCAAGTTAAACAAGTATTGTTTTTATTCACCAGTCTGATTCATATATATTATGAGGCAGTTTAAGCAAATCCCAATGTTATAATATAAGCTCTAAATGCTTGGTGCTGGTTTGAACATGTGAAGGTGCAAAAGCGAGGCTCTGTGGGAAGATCAATTGACGTGACCCGCTACAAAGGGTATGACGAACTCAGGCATGATCTAGCCCGCATGTTTGGTATCGTGGGGCAGATGGAAGATCCACAAAGTTCTGACTGGAAACTAGTTTATGTAGATCACGAAAATGACATATTACTTGTTGGTGATGATCCTTGGGAGTAAGCGACAACCCCAGTTTGATCTAACTTTCAGTATTTGGTCTCTCTGTTTTAAGTCCCTGACTTTGTAATCTCGAACTCCTTGCAGAGAATTTGTAAGCTGTGTTCAGAGCATAAAAATACTGTCATCCGCCGAAGTACAGCAGATGAGCTTGGATGGCGATCTCGGAAATGTGGTGGTTCCCAATCAAGCTTGCAGTGAGATTGACAGTGGAAATGCATGGAGAGGACATTATGATGATACCTCAGCTGCCTCTTAACAGATAAAAGTCTCAAAACTTGAATGCTAAAACAAATTGATCTATCTTCTGCCATTGGACTTCGTCTAGGCTCATTGATGAAGTGAATTTACTCATATTCGGAGAAAGTATGCTGATTCAGATGGTGTTCAATTTTGAAACCACTGCCATGAAATCTTGGCAAAGCATCCACTTTTTGACTTGGGGCTTGAGGCAAGTTATCATTTTAATGTATAATATAACCATATTTAGAGATAATCTGACATTATCAGGCATGCTTTGTAGTTGTAAGATACAATCAGCCTCAATTTTTGCTCATGTTGCAGCAGCAGATACAGTTGGAAATTTCTTTCAAGTGAAATGAATATATCAATGCAATATCATTTTCTATTTTCTCATATCAGAAAGTGAACTGAAACAATGAAATTTGTTACAAAATCATTGCGCCTTAATAAATTGTAGTTGTAAACCTCACAACACAATCTTATCAGACCAACTAAGAAAGCACTGAACGTGCCAATCGAAGGTTTTTCTTTGCTTGCCTCGGTCAACAACAAACCACCAGCGGTTTTCTCCTCGGCTTCTGCAACCTGTGCAACAATCCACATTTAAACACTCATCATCCTACCAAATAGGAATCCATGAAAAAACTGCAATAAAATAGCAACCAAATTAATGGATTAAACCTTAATAAAAACTGTCATTTAGAGGCTTGAGGTCTTTAATGTCATCCTGTTTCGAGAATCCCAACAATGTCGTCGTCCTTCAAGGTAAGATGATTCGAACCATTGAACTCAACCTCAGTTCCAGCATACTTGGAATATATGGCCTTTGCACCAGTCTATACAAAACATAGGATTTCGGAAGTAAATAACGACACAACGAATAGAGAAAAAAACAAAGAGAAGAATGTCGATTCCATGAAATCTGAAATGAGTGATCAAATTCAAAACTTGTCTTTGATATTTCAAAATCAACAAGTTTTGATTATGAGATTCTCAAGTCTCACATTGTTTATATATATATATATATATTAAGTGTTTAAATATAATCTTTTAAATATATATTCATTGAATGATTGTAGATAAAACTTATATATATGCATTGTTGTTTGGTCGGTTCATGCTCATACAAATATGTCTGACATATATTACATATTTTTTTAATTCTTTTTAGATCAAATTCATACATTTTAAGTTTATTATTCTCATTTCTTTTATTTTGGTTTGAATTATATATACATTGAACTTTTTCAAAATTTCTGTCACTTCGATAAAAATATATCTTATAATCGTGTCTTATGAAAAATACATAGTATGCTCATTAACTAAATAAAATTAAGGGTAAAGTATATAAATAGTCTCTAAATTTTTAGGACGCTTACATTTTGTCACCTAACTTTTAAAACTTGTAATACAGTCACTGAACTTTTAGTTCGTTCCGAGTAAAGTATTGACGTTAACATCCCCCGGTCCTCCTCCTTTCTTCTTCCTACTTTTGACTCCGAAGCTTTAGCTTGGAGGGGGTGTTTTAGTAGATTACAGTTTAGAATGTTACAAATCAATAGTTTTGTACATGTTTTATGCTCCTTTCTTTTGGATGAAGAAGAATGCGAGTTTCAGTATAGTTAATCCTAGTTTGCGTAGATGTTTTTTGTTATTGAGAGTTATTCTCCGAATTATATATATATGTATATATATATACGCTTACATTTTGTCACCTAACTTTTAAAACTTGTAATACAGTCACTAAACTTTTAGTTCGTTCCGAGTAAAGTATTGACGTTAACATCCCCCGGTCCTCCTCCTTTCTTCTTCCTACTTTTGACTCCGAAGCTTTAGCTTGGAGGGGGTGTTTTAGTAGATTACAGTTTAGAATGTTACAAATCAATAGTTTTGTACATGTTTTATGCTCCTTCCTTTTGGATGAAGAAGAATGCGAGTTTCAGTATAGTTAATCCTAGTTTGCGTAGATGTTTTTTGTTATTGAGAGTTATTCTCCGAATTATATATATATGTATATATATATACGCTTACATTTTGTCACCTAACTTTTAAAACTTGTAATACAGTCACTAAACTTTTAGTTCGTTCCGAGTAAAGTATTGACGTTAACATCCCCCGGTCCTCCTCCTTTCTTCTTCCTACTTTTGACTCCGAAGCTTTAGCTTGGAGGGGGTGTTTTAGTAGATTACAGTTTAGAATGTTACAAATCAATAGTTTTGTACATGTTTTATGCTCCTTTCTTTTGGATGAAGAAGAATGCGAGTTTCAGTATAGTTAATCCTAGTTTGCGTAGATGTTTTTTGTTATTGAGAGTTATTCTCCGAATTATATATATATGTATATATATATATATATATATATATATATATATATATATATATATATATATATATATATATATAAAGATCTTGAAAGGGATAAATTTTTGTTCTTACAGCTACCAGTTGTGGGTTTCTCAATTCTTTGGGTCTAGAAAGACCTCTAATAATAGGACATTTGGTCATCATTTGTGTAGATATTTTCTGCTATTATGGAATTCTCAATGTTTTTGGGTGTGATTAGAAGAATTGCTTGAAGCTTCCTGTTTAATACGATTTTGTGTATAGGATGAAGTTGAGGGTGCAACGGAGCCTGAGGGCGAAGGTGAAGCTGAAGTTGACATAGGACATGATGAGGCAGAAATGGAGAGTGATGGTGACCTACCTGATTTAGAACCTCATTCTGGAGAGAGTGAAGGTGAAAGAGTACAAAGTTCCCAAGAAGTAGATATCCGCGATCAAAGAGAAGGGAGTGAGGCGAAAGATACAGATAGTGATGAAAAAGAAGATTATGGGAAGAGGGTAGTGACTAGCCGGAGAAGGGAAGTGATTGAGAGTGGCTCAGAAAGGTCTGAGGAAAACCATTATACTGATAATGAAGATGCAGAGGTTGATCATGCTAGAAGTATGAGGTAACTTGTTCTATCCTTTAATCAGTCTCCATTTCTCTGTTTCCCCCCCTTTATTGTTACTCTCCTATATTTTGTTTGCCTTGTGTTCAATGCTTGTTAATTTGGCACTGTATTACAAGTTTTCTAAAACGCAAAAGGTTTTTTGCCAAAACTGAAAGAAAAAAATAGATGCACAGCCTTATATAATAACGATTCCATGGATGCATTCGTGTCCTTATTGTTGTGCCCAACTTGGCTTAATGGCAGCAAATCACCGGGGGAGGAGAAGGATCCGACTCACCTTTCACATTCAGCTGCAGAAATTCGTGATGTATTTGGTGCTTCTGATGATGATGAAGAAGAAGATGAAGCTAGAATATGCAGTTCGACATGAAATGGAGCAAGAGGAAGTTGTATCAATTGTCAAAAGCAATATGTTTCTTATTTCTTGTCTTTACAGAATTTTTGGGCTGCCTGTAGTCATGTTAGAAGTATGATGTAAATTCTTGTCCATTACAGATCTCCTATGGAGGAGGAAGGGAGCTATGGGAAGAGTCCAAGACTTGAAGATATGGTGCATGATGAAGATGCTCGTTATGAATCAGATGACGAGCATGTTGAGGTGAAACAAAAAGAGAAGCCAGTTGGTCCCCCGTTGGAGCTAGAAGTTCCATTTCGCCCAGGTCATGCTCATCCAACCAAGGTTTATTTTCTTATGCATTTTTCCCCGTCTTTTGGAAAGAATCTAACTTAGCATTACCTAAAGGATGCCTTAATATAGTCACTGATATAGAAACTGTTTTGCTACTCATTAGGCTTTTAGTTATGATATTTTTTATTGAAAGTTGAAGTGTGTTGGAGGGTTTGAATTACTTTAAGCACATGAGGTCAGACTTTTACTTTAGTCATTCTTTTGCAGATGAACATGATCAAAGTGCACTGACCGAAAACCATTTGACCCCAAGACCGAGACCTCAGTACGAACTGAATTGAAAACGAATTAAAAATTTAGTGACTGTATTACAAGTTTTAAAAATTAGGTGACCAAAATACAAATGTCTTAACAATTTAGAGACTATCTATATACTTCACCCTAAAATTAAAATAGTCATAAAATAGTCAAAATATGTGAGTTCATGTTCAAGTTTGAACCTAAGGTGGGGGCCCATATCCCAAAATTAATAAATATTTATTTAGAATAAAATATTAACAATATATAAAAAATCATTTAAAAAATTAATAATTGAAGATAGGTGTCAACATCCTTGACCTCTTATCCTTTATGTTATCCCTATCCCTAGACTAAATGACTCGGTAGTCGTTGTCACTGGACTCTGTGTGTGGACTCGTCACACGAGTTAACTCACCCCACGTGTCTTTATTGAACAAAAACCAATAAGAGACCGACACGTACCGAACTACACGGGCGTATGGGGCCTGCCTTTGCTCTTTCTTTTAATCCTGGACTTAGTTTTTGTCCTATTTAATTACATGAGTGCCCCTATCTATCGACTAACATAATAGCATTACTACGCTCGTATTTTTTTTTTCTGAAAAATTAAATTTAAAACCTTATTTTGATAATAGGCTTCTAGATGTATATGAATCTTTGTAATATTTTCTAATTTTATATTTCCTATAATATATATATATATAATGCATTTGTTACTTTTCCACATTTATTTCCCTTTAGGTATTGTAATATTTTGAGTTAATTTCATTATGTATCCTCTAACTATGAATCTCATTTTAATTTGGTCCCTAACCTTTTGAACATTCTATTTTCTTCTTCTTTAAACTATCAATATATATGATTCAAATCTCATGTTAATAAAAATATTATGCCAACCTATATCATTATATGTTCGGAAAAAAATAAAATTGAGGTTAAAACTAATTACATATTTAGATAAATTTGGGGATAAAATTGGAAGATTTACAAATTTTGGGGACCATTTGAGAATTAGGTTCATATTATGTGGATGAAATTAAAATGTTCAAAAGTTAAAAGACTAATTTAGAATGAGAGTCATAGTTTGGAGATGAAATTAAAATATTCAAGAGTTTAAGGACTGATTTAATATAAGATTTATAATTTAGGGATGTGTGATACAATTAACTCTTATTTTTTCTTCAACCTTCGTATCAATTTTTTTAATAGTCTAGGGTGGTTACAAGATAATATATGTTTATAATCTTACTTAGCACAACCTTTGTAGACACAGTTACTCGAATCCAGGATCTCAAAAGAAAATAACACTCCCTTTAATTACTGAGACCACTTAATATGTTAACTCATAACTAATTTTTAAGTTTAAATTTCACAAAAACTATTAATAAAACTCGAATAAATTCATATATTTTGTACTAATCCATTTTGAATGAAAACATTAATGTAATAAAAGGTAGATGAAAGCGATGGAGTGGGTAATTGTGATAACTATTTGTTCCACTATGTAATATTTTTGTTAAATGCTAATGACAATACAATAATAACATGTCAGTAAAATTCATAGAAGATTAACTTTCATTTTAAATTGGTCTCTAAACTTTTAATTTTTTAATTTATTCCCTAAACTATGACTATTATCCTAAATTAATCCTTAAACATTTGAACATTTCATCTTCATCCCAAACTATACATATACACTAATCACATCGCTTGTTAATAAAATTGTTAGACCAATTTATATAATCATGTTTGGAAAAACAAAGAAAAAATAGGTTAAATTGTACTTGAAACTAATTACATATTTAGATGAATTTAGGATGAAATTGAAATATTCAAAAGTTTAGGGACCAATTTGGAAAAAGGTCATAGTTTAGGGATGAAATTAGATTGATCAAAATTTTAAGGAGTAATTAAGTTTGGGACCAATTTAGAAATAGTGTCATATTTTAGGGATTAAATTAAAATTATCAAAATTTTAAGGACTAATTTAGAATAGAGTCATTATTTAGGGATGATGTAACACCCTCAGACTGATACGGGTGACCCGATCCGATCTGAGGTGTCATATTAGAGCCACAGGAGGACCACACTGATCAATGCAGAGAAATTAAAATTTTTTGTTGAACCATTAAAATTGTAAAACAATTTATTTATACAAATATCAGTTTAGAATTCAATAATATTCAATATTAAAACAAGTTCATACTAATATAAAAACAAATATGACTTATATACCTCTAATTACACATGCACCATACTCCGTATTCAACACCAAAGGAACTCTTATGACTGATGTCAATAGCAGTACAAAGTCATTTTATTTAGAAAAAATAACTTCAGTGATCAAAAATGCCTTATAATATATGATTTTAACTAATTTTTTTTGGACTTACAAAAATAACCAACAAATTCGCAACGCGAATTTCTATTTCGCAACACAGTTTCCAAATTCGCAACTCGAACATGAAAATTTTCGCAACGCGAATTACCGATATAGGTAAACACAATTATTCACATCGTGAATTTCATTTTCGCAACGTGAATTTCGCAAATCGAATTCGCCAATTTCGTAACTCAATTACCGATATAGGTAAAAACGGTAGAAAAATCGGGTAAAAATCTGAATTCGACAATTTGAAAACTGAGTTGCAAATTTGGTAAATTCGTGTTGCGAAATGTAAAATCTCGCCTCTTAAATAAAAAATTAAAGGACGCAAAATGCACTGGAGTGGTTTTCAACCTGTGACATCCCAGTTGCTAAGTCCACGTATGAATCACTCAGCTAAACCTACGCCTGTAAATGAATTGAACAAACACGAACGAGGGTATACTCATGTTCGTTCGTTCGTTTAACTTTAACCAAACGAACGAACTGTCGAAATGATTTTTTCTTTAGGAGGCGAGATTTTACATTTCGCAACACGAATTTGCCAAATTCACAACTTAGTTTTCAAATTGGCGAATTTAGATTTTTGACCGGATTTTTTCTACCGTGTTTACCTATATCGGTAATTGAGTTACGAAATTGGCGAATTCGCGTTGCGAAAACGAGATTCGCGTTGCGAATAGTTGTGTTTACCTATATCGGTAATTAGCGTTGCGAAAACAAAATTCGCGTTGTGAATCACTCAAATAAACCTACGCCTGTAAATGAATTGAACAAACACGAATGAGGGTATGTTCATGTTCGTTCGTTCGTTTAACTTTAACCAAACAAACGAACTGTCGAAATGATTTTTTCTTTAAGAGGCAAGATTTTACATTTCGCAGCTCGAATTTGTCAAATTCACAACTTAGTTTTCAAATTGGCGAATTCAGATTTTTGACCAAATTTTTTCTACAGTGTTTACCTATATCGGTAATTGAGTTGCGAAATTGGGCGTTGCGAAAATGAGATTCGAGTTGCGAATAGTTGTGTTTACTTATATCGGTAATTAGTGTTGCAAAAGTTTCCATGTTCGAGTTGCGGATTTGGAAACTGTGTTGTGAAATATGAGTTCACGTTGCGAATTTGTAGGTTATTTTTGCAAATCCAAAAAAAGTTGGTTAAAATTGTATATTATAAGGCATTTTCGGTCACTGAAGTTATTTTCTCTTTTATTTAACCTAAAAAGTAAGTAAAAAAGTGATCTTTGAGAAGCTCAGTAATACAGAACTACCAGATGAATGCCAAGTATAAGATAAAACATAAATTTTCTTAACTATACAGACATCATCAGGTTCTAGCGACGAGCTCATATTTCATTAATTATTTCCTCGGGTAACAGTCAGGAAATTAAAATTTGAATGAAATATTCAAAGAGACGGATTCAGGAGATTGAGATGAGGAGTCTAGATTGTTCCAACAAAACCAGAGAAAGTGTACAAATATTTTAAAACAATAATAATTTAAAACATATTTTAAAAAAACACACAATAATACCCTCCAACCGAACACTTATATAAAGTTCCTCAGAATTGCATCATAAGGACTTTCCCTAGGCCCATTGGGCATAGGAGCTAACCTAAAGGAGTATATTGGGGCCTGAGAGTCTACCCAAGAGTATTACTTGGGGCCTAAGAGCCTACCCGATAGAGTACCTTCGGGCTTTAGAGCCTACCCAAGGAAATGCTTTGAGGCCTCAAAGCCCACCCAAGTGCACCTTAGGTCCGTAAGGATTTACCAACTTGATCAGAGCTGAATCTCCAAACTCCATAATCATACCCAAACAATATCCCAATAATTGATTTATACAATAAATAATAAATTCTATGATCCATAAATCAGGCATAATTATATTTTCCAGTGAAAACAGGTAATCGTAGAGCATCTTATCAAGCTTCCAAGTTTGATCGAATTGTACCAATCCCAGCACATGTGATACTTACCAAGTATGCAGGTAGAGTAACTTCACGAATATTCATTTCTTATTATTGACTGCACTATAGAGTTAAACTGATCACATTCAGAACATCATTTAATGAATCTTGAGGAAACGAACGGGTATTCAGGCTATATTTATTTTATTCTCATATTGTAACAGTAGCAAGCATGGTCGATATGCTTGGTACGTGTTTTAACCCTTAGGTATGATATAACCTTTATTTATATGTTATCAATATATCCAAAATTTATCCAATGACATTCACTTAATCTAGACTATGAAGGTGTTTAGGTCATTTCAGTACTTGAGGTTAATTTAGTCATTTCAGGACTCGAGGGTATTCCATTCATTTTGGAATATAAGGGTATTTTGATCATTTCAGGG